GGCGGAACAGCAACCCTGCGTCCGACATCCCTTCCCAACGAGCACCAAGCCACCAATTATTAACTGTCAGACGAATCCGACGTGTGACGAGTGACAAGTGACGACAAGTCTAAAATGAGCAATGTCGTTCAGCCACCGCGCTTGCCTTGCCGAAGGCCCGGAACACATTTTGTTTCCAATTTGTTGTGAGTTTCTAAGTTTAAAGTGTTTTTGAGAGTTTATTCATTATTAGTTCAATTTCATATATTGTTATTGGTTTGTGCAATTGTATTCTCAATTAATGAATTTTTACCATTATTCTCAAAATGCGATTTTTACAATTATACTTATATATTACTTTAATTGTAGTTGATGGATAGCGTACCCGAGGGATAACTTATCTGAGGGGTTATTACGGGAATACCTTAGAGAGAAGTCAGAGCACTAAGTAAGAGAGAGAAAGTGTATTCGAATATAGAAACTTGTGATGCCTTACACTGGAGAATGGGTTGTTATTTATAGCAGTAATAAATGCTAGGCAGGGACACGTGTCGAAAATCTGACGGCCGAGGGTCACCTCAATCAGGGTGGCACTGGCATTTGCATGTGCACCGCATTAAATGCGGTGGGTGGATGTGACGCCGCATTAAATGCGTCGGTTGCCTGTCTCTAAAGGGAATCTTCGATGTTTGCGATGTAGCCGAAGGCTCCCCTGTGGCCGAGGGCTCTATGTAGCCGAGGGCTACCCATATGTCGAAGGCATGCACGATCCGAAGGCTCCTGATTTCCGTCGTCTTCTCCCAGTAAGTTTGTGTGCCTAAAATCAGTTGTCCTGTGAGATTTTGGAGCCCTCGACCATGGGGCCGAAGGCACCCGTATGTCCACCGTGGGCTTCTTGACACTTGGGCCGCTGCGCTTTGGGCCTCTTGTGCTTCTTGGACCTGTTGGGCCTGTATTAAAGTAGTAGGAGTCTGTGGGCCAGGGGTCCCTAGTCCATATACTCCATCAGTAGTATTTCTAGATTGTTTGACAAACAACCCCAATGTTAGGATTTTATATACCGGTTCCCAAAGGTTGTAACCAAAAATTAGTGGTTCTTCATCAAATAATTTAGAGATATTTACCAAAATAGGAGTAAATCAATTTTTAATTGGCAAAATAGGACTAAAGTCTAAAAATTTCCTAAACAGGAGTAATAATCTATAATTGGACAAAAACGCCCTTGATGCTTGAAAGTGATACTGTTGCGACCAGAACACGGGACCACTGCCTTTTGTCGGTCGCCGCCACTCGCCGTCGGACGCCTTCGGTCGCCGCCGGATGCCGTATTAATGGCATTTGCAAAGGAAAATACAATTTTTTTGAAGATAAGGAATGCCATTTTGATGGCAGTTTTAGAGTTTAACTTGCCATTTTGTAAAAATCAAAGAAGAAACGGAGCATGGGGAAGAATACTACCATCTCCGACAGCGGCGGCGGCGGATTTCGCAATGGCGGCGGCGGACTTCACGATGGTGGCTGCGATGAGGATGGAGAAGATGAGCAGGTGAGGGCAGAGGTGGACTTCACTATTGAGCTTCTAGGATCGTTGTTCATGGCAAAGGGGAAGGAGAGAAGATGAGGGAATTGTGCGCAGGGGAGGAAGTGTGGCACGGGAGGGGAGGGGAGGAAGAAGATCTGCGCAGGGGAATTAAAGAGGAATTAAAGAGGAAGGAAATAGGAGTAAATAGGTAATCTAGTCCTATTTGGGGAATAAAAATATAGATAGTCCAATTTAGGAATTTCAGAATAATTTAATCTCATTTGAGGTAAAAATGTCAATAATATATCTTTTTCGTCACATAATGTCATTCCTAATATCAAAAGTAATGGTAAAATCCCATTATTTCCTTCATTTGATTCATCCGTTGCTAATCAAAGTATGTTTTTCAAATGTCTGGAAAATGTTTTGAAAAAGATGTTTTTGTTAAAATTGAGAATAAAATCATAATAAGGCGATTTTCAGAGTATGGCGCATTAAAGACAAAGAGTGACACCTCCCTATTATTCCCCTTCATTTGACGCATTTGTTGCTAATTAAAATTGAGGTATTCTTTAAATAGTTTTATTTAAATTTTTATTGTTTGGTTTATTATCCATTATTATGTTTTGTTTTGTTAATGTGCCCGCAAGTAGGGATGGCAATGGGGCGGAGTTGGGGCGGGGGTTCACTCCCCATCCCCGTCTCGTGTCTAAATCGCCCCCCACCCGCCTCATCCCCCACTACTATTTGACCCGCTCCATCCCCGCCCCAACCCGTTAGATCCACGGGTACCCAACGGGGAAATATTCATTAAAAATTAACAGTGTTTTAGATTCAGACAATTTTTCAAAAATCAAAGAACACTTCTAGTATATGGCCAAAAAACTTGTTAGTTTTAAGTGTCAATATAATTTTACATCCCATTTCAAATCTAGAATACAATTATACACGTTTTGATTAAGTCATTTTATCAAACACTTTATTAGTATTGATTAGCTGTATAATATTTTCTCAAGTCCTTCATTCAATCAATCATGGTCATTTGACAACATTTAGGACAACCTATGGTCACCATACTTTTAAGAGTCCTAACTACAATCATAAAGGTAGCATTCATAAGAAAAGAATTAATGCACTATAATAATAAAAGAAGAAAACATTCACACCATGTCTGAGGCGTTTCAGCTAATATCACTTCATAACTATTTCAAATTCATTTTACTTTATATGATGTTGGTAACCAATTTTACAAGATAGTTGAATTATTAAACAAGAATTATATAGACTCATTACGCACACCCCATTAGGTAGGAAACAACTAAACCCACCGGGCTACTATGCTATTTTAATTACTTCGTATTAATACTTACATATTTATGACTAAAATGAATATTGTTTACAAAAATGTAACTAGTGACTAGAGTGGTGATGAAATTTTAGTAATTTATGTTCAATTTTTAAACTTAGGTTACTATGACACTACATTGTAGTAACTAATAGACATATTTGTGTAAAATAAATTTTATTTTAGTAATATTTTTGTAAAAAAAAAACCTTATTATTATATTATTATTGTGATTATTATTATTATATACTCCCTCCGTTCCTATTAAAACTTTCAAATAGGTTTGGAACATAGTGTAATATAATGGTTATTGTGTGGTGGAAAGTTGTGCAGAGGAGACAAAAATGTGTAAGAAATGTTGTGAAACACAAATTCTTTACTAAAAAGGGAAAGTGGAAGTTTTAATTGGAACGGACGAAAAAGGAAAGTTGGAAGTTTATTTAGGAACGGAGGGAGTATTAATATCTCCGTCCCATAAAATAGTACTTATTTCAATTTGGATCAGAGTTTAAGAAAGTGAGAATAAAGTGAAAATGTATGATTGTGGTTGAGAAAAAAAGGTAAATGAATGTTAACACACAACTTTCCAAAAAGGAAATAAGAACAGTTTTTTTGGACTGTCCAAAAAGGAAAATGAGAACTATTTTAAGGGACGAAGGAAGTAGTTATTAGTATACGGGAGACAAGGCAAAGACAAGGCGGGCATAACCCATTACCCGCACCATATTTAAGCGAGGAAGAAATAATTCCCCATCCCCGTACCCATCCACCACCCGCCCCAACTCCTCTGCAAGCTACCTAACCTGGTCCCGCCACGAGCACTCTTTTCTAGGGCTGGATTCGGTTCGGGTCCCGAACCGATTCGATATATACCCGAACCGAACCGATAATTCAGTTTACCAAATTATCAGAACCGAAATCGAATCGTACTACAAACGGGTACCAATTTTTGGTACCCGATTTTTTCGATTCGGTTTACCAGAAATCGAAAGAAACCGACAAAAGTGTAATAAATAAGTTTGAACTAACATTCAATTGACTAAAGCCCATTGGAACTTGCCAATATTTGAGCCCGATTAGCCCAATGGAAGCCCAGAACGTAACTTAGCTTCCTAGAACATATCTTGGCATTCTACACTAAGGGGACCTTATTTGTATTGAAGTTTTGGAGTAGGAAGCTTCTCATTTTCCGGTGTGGGACAAGATTAAAGAGAATAGGAAAAGAAGCTGAAAAAACAAAAAAATAACCCAACTGCGGGAATCGACAACGCGACGTAAGGGAGAGGACAAGCGCTGGATAACGAACTCGGCTACTCTTCAAGCACGCTCAAATCATACTCGGTTTAGTATTATACTACCTACATCCCTTAAAACTTTGCCAAAGTTGACCGACACGGAGAATAATAAAGTAAAAACTGTGTGGTTGAGATTTGTGCAGAGGAGAGAAAAAAAACAGAAACCACAAAATAATTGATTAAAAGGGAAAGTGACAAAGTTTTTTGGGACGTCCCAAAAAGGAAAGATGCCAAAGTTTTAAGGGACGGAGGGAGTACCTTCATTAAACATCATTAATTACTATTGTTATTATAAATAACAATTATTATTGATATAAAAATGTCGGTTCGGTTCGGTCCGAATCGATATTTTGTGCACATAAACCGAACTCGAACCAATTTTTTTCGGGTCCCGATTATTGGGACCCAATTTCATTAGGTTCGATCTGGTTCGGTTTTTTTCTAAAGCAATTCGATTATTTTCAGTTCGGTTTTCGGTTTTTCGATACAAAATGCCAGCCCTACTCTTTTCTATGGAGTATGTTCTAGCAAGCTATGAGAATGTCCTTGTAATTTCACACCCATCGATAATCATTATTTAAGCACAATAAGAAACTCGTATCAATGATATGTAGAGTCCGTTTGGTAACTTTTTTTCGACTTATCAGCCAGCTTTTTCATCAAACACGTAATTTTTGATTTCTCGCGCTGAATTGTGTAATAAGCAGAAAAAATAAGATCGAAGTTGCTTTTCTGGCTGTATTGGTTGAAGTTGATGCAGAAGATCATTTTAGCTATTTTTCATATAATTTTCTATTTTATTTATTAATAGCAAATATATTAAATATTTTTTTAAAAATCAGCAGAATCAGCCAATTCAGCCAGAACTTCATAAATTTCAACAGAATCAGCAAATTCAGCCAATTTTAGTGTTACCATCGTAAATACAAATTAAAATGAGAGGCAACTTTTATTGCTGGGTTGATTTAGATTTCGGTCAGAATAGGAGTTGGTGGTTGATTACCAACAACCTAGATCCACAAGATTTACATCAATTGTATAATACCACCTTCCAAACCAAGCAACAAACCGTAACGCAACCTTACCAGATCATAATACTACGGGAAATCAGAAATGCAAATCAAATTAAAAACTAAAAGCTCGGGATTATGCCCTCTCTCCGCGAATCCTCCTAGCCAGCTGCATATCCTTGGGCATAATGGTGACCCTCTTGGCATGAATGGCGCAAAGGTTTGTGTCCTCAAAGAGTCCCACCAGGTAAGCTTCGGCCGCCTCCTGGAGAGCCGACACAGCGCTGCTCTGGAACCTCAGATCGGTCTTGAAATCCTGGGCAATTTCCCGAACAAGTCTCTGGAATGGAAGCTTTCGGATCAAAAGTTCTGTAGACTTCTGGTACTTCCGGATCTCCCTGAGAGCAACTGTTCCTGGGCGGAAACGGTGGGGCTTCTTCACTCCTCCGGTCGCCGGAGCTGATTTCCTAGCTGCTTTGGTTGCCAACTGCTTCCGGGGAGCCTTTCCACCGGTCGACTTACGAGCGGTCTGCTTGGTACGAGCCATTAGAGCGAGTGGATGATCGAAGTATTTGTTAAGTGCGGAAATGCTTTAAAATTGGGTGGAGTTTCTTGGAGGTTTGGCTCCGGTATTTTATCAAGGGTTTAGAGTGCGGGAAAGGGTGGGAATTTTGGAGGGGTTTGAAAATTTGAGTTTTCCTGACACGAGTATCAACCGTTGACTAATTTCAAACTCTTGACGGCAGAGATTTGTTTACATGTTGCGTTCCGGATCGCAAATGAATGAAACTCAAGGCTCATTTTGTTTGAAAACGGAGTATTCCGTACTCCGTTTTTGGTACTCCCTCTGTCCCAAATTGTTTTGCAAAGTTAACATTTTATAAAAGACAATGCTCCATATCGATAATTAATTCCATTTTTAATAATTAAAATTTATATATTCAGAAACTATATTAAAATCTATTCAAAGTTGTAAACTCCAAATTAGAATATAATTAAAATTGACATCCTAATTAAGCAAATAAAATGAAACTGTTTGACCAAGAAAAGTCAAATTTTCAAATCAATTCAGGACGGAGGTAGTACTTACTATTTCGGGTCAGTTCAGCTTCTTCACTTCTTGGTGCTGTTTGTGTTTATGTTTTTTGGTTGAACAGTCAAATAAGTTAATGTACGTGTCGTGTAAGCTTAATTCAGTCCCTGAATTAAAAATAAGTCTAATTCGCATCTTGAACCGATAAAAAAGTTCAAATTTCATATTTTACAGGTAAACAACCGGTAAAAATGGTCCAATTCGCATCCTTAAACTATTAAAAAGTGTCAAAATTGCAATAAATAAATAAAAAAGAAACAATAAAAAGTTAAATAAATGACTAGTTGTTTACCCGTTAAATGAAATTTGAACTTTTTTTGTCGGTTCGAGTTACGAATTGAATCTTTTTTTAGTTCAGAAACTGAATTGAGCTTATACGACCGGTACATGGGCCTATTTGACCCTTTAGCCTTTTTATTTTCATTTGTACATTGTTTTCTATGTGTTGAAATTGTTCCTTCTTTGAATCTTATTTAAAAGTTTCTGAATTAAAATGATTTACAGTTAAGATTATTTATATCGTGATTTCGCTAGTTATAGGAAAAATAGCCTTAAATAGAAGTAATTAATCCTAAATACGAAGTATACAAATGGGATTATACGGAGTAATGTTTATCTTTTCAAAATAAAAGTGAGGTCCGGAGTATTCTCAATCTTCATGATGGAGTATATGGTCGAGAAACCCCCGGCCCATAGACTCCTGCTATTCTGACGGAGGCCCAATGGGACCAGGGAGCACAGCGCCCCAAGTGCTAAACAACCCACGTGGCACGCTGGGAACGCCTTCGGCCCCCTGGCCGAAGGCTCCAATTCTCACAGGACAGCCAACTCAAGCGAACATGATTACTGGGAGAAAATGGCGAAAATCAATAGCCCTCGGCACCTAGAGCCCTCGGCACTAAGGAGGTCCCCGGTACTCAGAGCCCTCGGCCAATCACCTACAGCCGAGGGCACCTTTCTCGACATAATATCCACTCCACATGCGCCTGAATCACCGTACAAGTACGACGTCACATCCAACAGCCGCATTAAATGCGGCCACATGCGATTGCCAGCGCCAACCAGTTGATGTGACCTCTCGGCCAATGGATGATTAACACGTGTCCCTATCTGGCATTTATTACCACTATAAATAGCACCCATTTCCCCATTTGTAAACCAAGCAAAGTATGCTTAATACATATCGAATATACACTCTCTCTCTTACTTATTTACTCTGACTTCTCTCTAGTTATTCTCCGCAATAACCCCTCGGATAAGCTACCCCCGGTACACTGTCCATCGTTTGGTGCTCTCGTTGAGAGGTCGAATAATCAACTAAGAAACCCTCCCCCTCGCCAAACACAAAACACCTAGCTGAAATGGTGAGAACAACTCGTGCCAACTCCAAGAACGTTGAGGACAGGAACCTGGCCCTCGGCGAAGTCGACGTCCCCGAAGCCTCTAACAGGGCTCCCCTCGGGGCATCACAGCACCCCACTTGTTAATAAACAAGGGACCCCTCGGCAACACTGGGAATATCATCCACATTCATCGCACCCTCATTCTCATAATTTGGAGGCTCCCCCTTCGGCATCGCTCAGGATAACAACAGGGACCCTTCGGCAAATCAACGCACGCGCCTTCAGACAGGGATAACCTTCGACAAAAATATTGCCACTCATTTCAAACCGGGATTTAACCTTTTCGACTCATCATTGGGGGAATTCGGTGCACTCTTTTTCCCTCATTGGAATTTTTCCCCACAGGGTTTTTTCCAATGGGATTTTTAACGAGGCATCCCCCCTATATTGCAGGAAGGCACTACACTACTCCTTTTCACCACTTTGCAAGTGCCTCAATGAGTGGGGGACTGGAGGACCCCTTCGGGAAAATCTCTCAAAATACAAAAAAAAATGTCAAAAACTCCCACAACAAACGAGCATGATCCCTCAAGTCCCGGAATGTGGGTAACTGAGGGACTGCCCTCGGCTGAAACATGCACACAACAAATTACTCACAAACTTTACAGACTACAACAGAACAACACCAAAAGGGAAAACGCAGATTACTCCTTTTCCCTCAAGTACCTTTCGGCAAAAGGAGTGAGGGACTCCTGATGGAGTATATGGCCCAGGAACCCCCGGCCCATAGACTCCTGCTATTCTGATGGAGGCCCGATAGGCCCAGGGAGCACAGCAGGCCCAAAACACAGCGCCCCAAGTGCTAAACAACCCACGTGGCACGCTGGGAGCGCCTTCGGCCCCATGGCCGAAGGCTCCAATTCTCACAGGATGGCCAGCTCAAGCGAACAGGATTACTGGGAGAAAACGGCGAAAATCAATAGCCCTCGGCACCTAGAGCCCTCGGCACTAAGGAGGTCCCCGGTACTCAAAGCCCTCGGCTAATCACCTACAGCCGAGGGCACCTTTCTCGACATAATATCCACTCCACATGTGCCTGAATCACCGTACAAGTACGACGGTACATTGTCCATCACTTCATATTCTAAATTTATCATAACTTAATAAGACAATCATATTTTATTTGTAATAAACACATATAAATAAATAAATAAATTATATGAAATTATACAATCATAATAAAATAATAAAAAACCAAGTCTGTAAGTATAATATTTTAAAATTTAAATATTTAAATAAATAAAGAACTTAAAAAAGGAATATAAATAGACATAACATATAAAAATATAAAAAAAATGGAGGCTTTTCTCACTGTTAATGGTAAAGTTCATTGGCCAGTGGACAAAGTTTTGAAGAAATACATAACTCATCCTTAGATTTAGTCAATGGTGATTTGATCACAATTGGCCAAGCATAAAAAAGCATTAAAAAAATATAAAGTTTTGAAGAGACTCTACATGGGTAAAGTTCAAAATCTAGGGACAGTTTTGTCCCCGACAACGGCGCCATTTAATCATTGTGTTGTTTTTCTAAGTGAAATGTAGGTGACTAATTCAGAGAATAATAATAGGATCACGAGTATCATCTCTCAAGGAGTGACAAAAAAGGAAGTTTTAAATAGGTCTGTGCTCACATGCTAGCACAAGTCATGGTGACCTTTCCAAATAATGAGTTGGGTGATTTTAAAAACTAACTAAAAGTGCTAAATTAATGGAGTAAAAACAAAATTAATTAGATTGATTATAGCTTTAAAACAGAGTAAGTTCAAATTGGATAGCTAGAGCTCTAGGTGTTCTTTCGGGATTACATTTAAGTAAATTAAAATTTCCATCCCTCCTAGACAGAAAATGAATTCAATTCTTATAGATAAGATTTAAATCACATTGTCACAATTCTAACTTATTTCTAAGATCAGATTGCTTGTACAAGACTCAAACTAATTTGACTCAATCCTCATAGACTAAAATTTAATAAAATTCAGAAATTCATATAGACAATTGTGATTAATCTTATAAAAATTTCTAGAAAATTAATTGAATTTCAAAAACTAAACTCATACCCTCAAGCATAGTTAGTTAATTACGGTACGAGAATTAAACATGATTTAATACGTACGTGTTTTATTCGGTAACTTGAACAAAAAAACGGTCAAAAATTCGGCAAAAAATACGTTGACTTTTATAAAACGTGTAAATACGTATACGTGTATAATACGACATCTCTTAGAAAAATTCGGGTTAAAAATACGGGTCTTATATGGAATGATTAAATTATTGTACTAGTTTTTAGAGCATAAAAACATATACTACATAAAGGATAATCAACATACACACATTCAAATATAATACTCCGTATCTCATTACTCCATCAAAAAATGCATTCATAATAGCATAAGCTCATGACAAAAAAATAATGATTAAGTCCAAAATAACATTTAAATTATATACTTCATAAAATAACATATAATAAAAAGAAATAAAAGTGTACACATATTGAGTAGCAAATCACATTACTACATAAAAGAATAATTCATAATTGCATACGTCAATGACAAAAGTAAAAATAGTACGGAGTAATTAAGTCCAAGACATAATTTTGCAAAGTATATCAGAAAATAAGGCATAATAACGATAGAATGAGACCAAGTTAACATCATCATCATCTTTATATGATCATCAAATAACACTCAAGTTAAACTCATCATTTTCACCTAGATGACGGATGACATGAGAAAGTTGTGCGACTGTTGCATTTATTATTGTTTGTGTAAAAGTTTATACAAAAAAATGTCACGTTTAGAAAAACCTTAATTTTGATATGCTTGTTTGGAAAAGAACATCACAAATCTAATACGTAGTGGTATTTTAGATTTTAGTCTTTTAGGATGCTAGCTTTAGTCATCATGCAATTAATTTTAGTATTTAACAATTGTATATTTTGTATTGTAACAATACAAAAACACGGGGTCACGGGGATCGGGTTTTCTTTTTTTCTTTTAAACTATTGTTGATCTCCTATTCATTTGATGTATTCATTCAAGAGATCAAATGATGTTTTTATTTTTTGTAAAATACGGAAAATATACGTTTTATACGGGAAGTGGAAGTTTTTTTCCTTTTTAAACGGACCGACATTATTCTC